GTGCCTTTACTGGGTCTTAAATCTCTCATCTCTAAAATGAGGGGAAGATCACCTCCTGGGAGAGAGGTGATGGGCTCAGAGGACAGAAGAAGTAGCATCCACTTCTGGACACACCCAATATGGGGATTTATTTTGCTTGTGACTATGCATTTTAGTACCAAGGATTTGGGGGTTATCTTATTTAATTTTTTTTTCAATTGAGAGAAGAGAGAAATGGAATGTTTGTTAGTTTTTTAAAAAAATAAGATAAAATTACATTAGAAATGAAATCAGGGGAAGGAACTTGATCATTGTTCAGTCATTTCAGTTGTGTCCAATTCTTTGACTCCATTTGGGGTTTGCTTGGCAAGGATGCTGGAGTGGTTTGCCATTTCCTTATCCAGTTCATTTTACAGATGAGGAAACCAAGGCAAACAGGGTTAAGTGACTTGCCCAGGGTCACATAGCTAGTAAGTGTTGGAGGCCAGATTTGATTTCAGGAAGATGAGCCCTGATACTCCATCTACCGTGCTACCTAGCTGCCCCACAGACTTGATCACCAGGGTCCTAATCTTAGGATCCTGTGAGATTGAATTGGGCCCCAGCACTATCCTGGGAGCTAACAGTGGTGGTAACATTTACTTCATCATCTCCATTTAGCAGCACCCACCCACCCCAAGTGAGTCTGATATTGTCCCCTTTCTTCTACTCTTGCTCCAGGCCCCAGGTGCAGAAATCACTAGTGGTAGCTCTGTCATAGCGGCAGCAAATCTCTTAGACAGAAGACTTAGACCACGGTGAGAACAGTCGGGGAGGAGGTCGGAAGGGAGGAAAGAACCCATAGTAAAATCCCAGGGGAACAGGGACCATGTTCTGAGAGCAAAGAAGGGAAAACATAAAAAAGCATTGCATTTTCCCCCTTACACCTTCTTCCTTTGGGGGTTTCAGAGATCTGTGTGGGGAAGTTTGGCTTCTTCCTTTACCTTCAAAGCTCTCTTGAGTTCATGGGGATTGTGATTGTTTTGCTATCTGCCGTGGAGCAGACCCAGGCAAGGTTTCCTGAAGTTGAGGGGCCAAACCTTTGTCTCCTGGAAGGCAGACGTGTGTCTCCGTGTTGGAATCACTTCTCTTTGGAATCCCAGGCTTTTCTTTTCCCTTATCCCCTTGGGGGGGATACAAGGGAGTTTGACTTTTGGATTCTGCCTGCACTAATTGATACTGTAAAAATAACCCATCATTCTTCTGGTCTGATCTGGGCGGTGTCAGAGCATTGTTTTAACATCTCCTTCTGACCATTTGATTGTTATCTCTTAAGTACCATTGTGGCATTACTCAATGGAGTATAATTGGAGGATGTGGGACTCCAAGTCCTTAATAATAAAGATGTTTTTCATTGAATGACCTCTATTTTCTTCTTTCTCCCCACCCAATCACCCCAAGTAGAGGCACCCTTCATCCCTCTCTTTTAGCTTCTGTTTCATGTTTCTATAGTGAAAGTCAGCGCGAGCTTGGTTCAGAAATGTATCTTGTTTGGGAGGGTGAATTTTGACCCTCCTGTGGTAGGTGAGAATGAGCTGTGGACAGTCCGCCATTCTTGGACCAAAGAGACAGTATGGTGTCTGGGAAACTGCACTGGGTTGGGAGTCAGAAGAGTCAATGTCTAATCTTGACTGTTGTTAGGAGGAACTGAGATATTTAGATCGGGAAAAAGAAAATTTAGAAAGGACAAAGTAGGTGTATTTCAAGAGAATGCTGCCCATGGAAGAGTCTGCTTGGCTTTACAGGGCTGAACTCAAAATGATAGGTGGATGGTAAAGAAAATCAGTTTCTTAACTTCATGTAAGAAAAAAAAATTCCATTGATAATTAAAGCTACTCTAAAATAGAGGGGGCTACTTTACCAGACGGAGGGTGATCAATCACTGTAAGTCTACGGTGTCCACTTTTTGAGGATGTTGTAAAAGAAATTTCAATTAAGGTGTATGTTAAACTTTATTGTTGGTTAGTCATTTTCAGTCATGTGGCCCTTTTTGGGTTTTTCTTGGCAAAGCTGCTGGACTGGTTTTTGCCAGTTCCTTCTACGGCTCATTTTACAGATGAGGAAAGTGAGGCAAACGTGTTAAATGACTTGCCCAGCGTCACATAGCTATTGAGTGTCTGAGGCCAGATTTGACTTCCTGACTCCAGGCCTGGTACTCCATCCACTGCACCAATGAGTTGACCTCTTACATTGCTTCTGACTCTGAGGTGGAGTGACGCTGCTTTACTCATTCACTATGTGACCAAGCAAGTCATTCCTTTTGAATTTTGTCTTCACCAGTACTTTAAAAATAACCTTCAGGAAGCCTCAGTTTCTTGTTCTATGAAATAAGATGAAGGACTAACTCTAAAATCCTGTGATTATTTTTTTTTAAATCACGCAAGTATTTTGGTTTCCTCTAATCTAGCGTTTAAATGGAATCCGTATTTTGAAGGAGAAGGTAGATCTCAAGGACCACTCTTGAGAGGCAGCATGGAGGGCATGGTGAGGAAACAGACCTGGTTTAGAATTACCTGTGTGACCTTAGGCAAAACAATCAACATATCTTGAGCCTCAGTTTCTGTTTCCTCTTTTGTAAATGGTGGGATTCGAATTAGATGACCTCCAAGACCCACCTACCTCTAAAACTGTGATCCAATGGGAATTGGAGGGTAGGAGAGTAGTAACAGTGTAACACCAGAGCCTCTGGGTCTCAGGTCTCAAGCAAGAGGCTCCCTTTCTGAGATATATCTGTATGTTAGCATACTCCCTTCTGCCCCTGGTGAGGGCCTTCACTTCCTTTTTAGAGACCCCTGTACAAAGAGGCTTCAACATAGCTCCAGTGTTGCTGACATTTCACAATGGCCCAGAGTGTGCTGGCTGCCCAGGATCCTAAAATCTCCTTTGGTCCATTGAGAGCTGACCCCATTGAATGCAGACCTGTCTGCAGAGGAGAATGTTAATTTCAGAACATGGCTCTTATTGTCTTTCCCCGAAGCCTTCTCTGCTGGGACTCTGTAGGGCCCCATTTCTATATGTCTTGTGCTGTAACTGCCCAAAGTTCCCAAATTAGAAAAACTCAGTGAAATAGAGTGATAAAATGCAAGAGCATTTTATGGGGGCTGGGAGGGGAGGGGGAAGCTAATTGAATTTCTTGGTTAATTTATATGCTACAGCAGATAATTATCAGGAATAGACCTTAGAGACAGCCGGCTTTGGCCCCAGTCACCACCAAATGACTCTCCTCCCATTATGCCATGCCCTCGAAGAGGCACGGACCTTTAGAATATTGATTGATCTCGCATTACCAGTCATTCAGTGAATCCCAAGGCCAGATCCCTGAACCTTTGACTCCCGGCCTTCCAAATGGAATGGAATGATTCCTCCTCTCCACTCCTGAATCTTAGAGCATCCCACAATCATAGTTTTCGAGCTCAAAAGGACCTCAGTAGGCAGCTGGTTCAACTGAGGCCCAGAAACATTCAATAATTTGCTCAAGGGGTCATATAAATAGCAAGCAGATGACCTGGGATTTGAACGGGAGTCCTCTGACTTCAAATCCAGTTGTTTTTTCTTCTGTTGTTTCATATTATCTCCCTTACCCATCTGGCTCAGGTCTGGCTCAAGTCCAGGGGCTGTTCTTTCCTTCCAGACAAGAGGCATCCATCCTTATCAATCCATTGCCATAGTATTAATGCTTTTCTCCCCTCTCCCACTTCTCTCAGGGACACTAGAGCCCCAACCCCAGCATTCACAGAGTTACAGGAAGAGGAAGGGAGAGGATTGGAGGAGTGTCTAGCCTGAACTGTGTGGGCCTCCTCTTCCTGGCAGGAGGCTCACTCTTTTCTGCAGCGGACTCCCATCTGTGGGATGTTGCTGGTGCCCTGTGTCTTCCATGAAGGCATTCTCCCCCTGACCTCCTACAGCACTTGAGTGAACCCATCTCCTATTTCTTGCTTCTTTCCGGGCCTCCATTTCTTTATCTATATAGTGAAGGACTTAGACTCAGTGATCTTGCTATCCCTTGGTGGGGGTGGTATTGCCTCAGGGGTCACAGCACGTGGGTTCAGTGCCTGGTTTCTAGTTTCCTCATCTGTAAAATTAAGGGGTCAGGCTGGATGTGCCCTTGGAGGTCCCTTATCATTCCAGATCTATGAGTCAAGTCCAGTGTTCAGGGATGCCCTGAGACTTGAAGCCATGTGATATCTGGGAAAAAAAATAGCAGTCTGAGATTCCAAAGGTCTGGGTTGAAGGCATGCCCTTGCCTGGGATTTATGGGAAGGAGGGCAGCTGGTAGGACTCTTAGGAACTCTAAGCATGGGGCTTCCTGCCTTTGGGCAGGTTACAGACCTCCTATAAAGCCTTCCTAGGTCCCTGCAGTTCCCTCCACCTGAAAGGGCTTGCAGATGAGAAAGCTGTCCAGTGCCAGCACTCTGGCCCTTGGGAGAAACTAAACTCTGGGGTTACAAAGACAAGAACAAACAATTCCTGCCCTCAAGGATGTAATAGACGAGACATTGTACAGACATAGACATATATGAGGCTCATAGAAAGCAGACAATAGGTAATCTTGGATGAGGAAGCACTAGTATCTGAATGGACATTTCTGCGCACACAAACGCATGAGTATTCATAGGCACTTACATACCTACATTCATTCATTATGGTATTATGTCTCTACTTCAGTTTTAAGTAGCTTGAGAGCATTTCCTGGATGTTCTGAAATTCTCTAAGACTCCAGAGATGTCCTAGCTAAATCCTCCTTTATGTTCACGTGGGAAGTAGGGAAGGGAAACTGACATTCTGGGATTCTGTAATATTCTTAAGATTCCTTTGTAAAATCCTTATCACTCCCAATTGTTTGAATATGTGTATATGGTAAGTAGAGGTCTATTGTAGGAAGGGAGGGAAGATATCACTGTAGGGTTCTGTGATATTCTTCAAACGTCCTGGCTAAATTCATATCCTTTTTCTTCTTTTTTCCTTTTTTTTTTGACCTCTAGAAAACGAAGGAATGGCAACCAAGGAAAAACTTCAGTGTTTGAAAGATTTTCACAAAGACATCTTGAAGCCTTCCCCTGGCAAGAGTCCAGGAACCCGGCCTGAAGATGAGGCCGAAGGGAAGCAACCACAGAGGGAGAAGTGGTCAAGCAAGGTTGATTTTCTGCTGTCCGTGGCAGGCGGTTTTATCGGGTTAGGTAACGTCTGGCGTTTCCCGTATCTCTGCTATAAAAATGGCGGAGGTGAGTATTTTGTACCATAGGAATCCCTTAGTAAGGGGAATAGAGAAATAAATTATATTGGTGTGAAACTAGGCCCTTCTCCATCTGTTTCCTCTTCACCTTCCTTTTTCTAGCCGCTGGCCTTCCTAAATAAAATATGTGCCTAGATTCAAACACAATATTCATTTGACCTGTCAATGAATTTCATCAGCTTTATTGATGGTCTTATCCCATTGTTGACTCTCTAAACTTGCAGTCCCCTAAACCCCCCAAATTGTAGTTTAACAAACCAATGTTGATGAGGCTAAACCTTTCCCATCTGATACTTAGGAAGTTGATTTCTTGAGCCCAAGTAGAAAACTTTATGTTTGTCAATGTTAAATTTCATTCAATTTCAATCAACATCCTAATTTGCCAGGATATTTTTGGATCTTGCCATCCATTGCATTATGTATTCTTCCCACCTTTGTGTTATCTGAAAGTTGGATGATCCTGTCATATATGTTATTTCTATAAAGGAACTACTCAGTGTTCCAAATTTTATCCCATTCTTCTTCAAAATGTGTATTCCCATTAGAGATCTGAGCTCACTCTTAAAAAAGAAAAGGTAGGATAAATTAATTCAAAATAAAATACAAATGATTAATCGCCAGCTCTATGTGTTATTCCTTTCAGAGTTATTGGCATTTTACAAGAGGAGTTTGTTAAAACTTGAAAGAATGCATCTCTAATGGTTAGAGTTTGGAATTGAGGGACAGGCCTGCTAGGAAGAGACTCAGGGGCAGTGGGCACCTTTCTGGGTTGCCTTCCAGTTGGTTTGTGTGCCGCACCCTTAGCAGCCCATTTGGGCATTTGTTCAGTAGTGTTTGGGGTTGGCAGTATCACTTTCAGTATTGGTAAAATGAGGATAATAGTTATATAACAGCTAACATTTTGTATAGTGCTTACTATGTGCCCAGCACTGTGCTAAGTGCTTTGCAATTATTATCTTACCTAACTTACTGTTAGCTGTTGGGAGACAAGTGCTTTATCAACCTCCAAATGCTATGGACGTACAAGCTAGGATGTACCCTTGGGAAATTAGTGGTCATTATTTATTAAGAAATGAGCTTTTATGTGTCCAAGGGACTACATAGAGAAGAAAGCAGAAAACTCCCATCTTGGGGACATCTTTGAACTTTGCAGAGGGTTGCCTTAGGAAGAGAGCCTTACACAGTCCTTCATTGCGGGCCTGGGTAGATGTCCAGCAGCTCTGCCCATTTGCTACCCTTCACAGACCTTCATAAACTTGGAATGTCTGCCCCCATCCCCCTCCATGGTGAGATGGTCTTTCCTTGATTAGGAACCCCAGGCATGCTTGAGCCAACTTCCCAAATCCCTGTGACCCACTGATAGGGGACCTCTGTCTCTTTGTGTTCTCTCCACAGGTGCATTTCTTGTACCTTACTTCATTTTCTTGTTTGGCGGCGGCTTACCTGTGTTTTTCCTGGAGGTTGTTATAGGCCAGTATACCTCTGAAGGTGGGATTACTTGCTGGGAAAAGATCTGCCCTCTTTTTAGTGGTAAGTATTCTGGTTTTAGCAGAGTCTAAAGTACACCACTGTGTACCATAGGAAAGTCATTTTTCCCTGATTGCATCAAGAGGTCTGAGAGGAGCATAGAATATAAGGGAATTTTAGGGGCCATCTCACTCAACTCCTTCATTGACGGATGAGGAATTCGAGGCACCAAAAGAGGAAGGGATATATTCCTTTACTCCACCAGGAAGCTCCACTGCTAGAAATTAGAACCCAGGCTTCCCTACTCTTGGTTCCATTCTGTTTCACAGAGCCATATCTTGTTGGATCTGTGACTTAGGATGGTGCTTGGTAAGGCAGTATACTCTCATTTTGGGGCTGGTGATTTGGGATCGGAGTCTGGGCCCTGTGATACGTCTCTCATTATGCCTAAGACTTGGATCACAGGATCATTATTTTAAGAGTTGGAAAGGACTCTGGAGGTCATTGAAAGGGCAGGCAGAGGGGGATAATAGATTAAGCCTTGGACTTTAGAGTCAGAAAGACCTCAAACACTTACCTCTTTGTGCTTCCGTTTCCTCATCTGTAAAATGAGGGAGTCAGACTTGAAGACATCAAAGGGTCTTCTAGATCTCAATCTGTGATCCTATGTGTTCAGTGTACTATGTGTCATTTTAAGAAGGAGGCAATTGAAGCCTAGAGAGGCTAAATGACTTACTTGCCCAAGGTCAAACAGATAGTAAGTGGTAGAGATGAGATTTGAATCCAGATCCCCTAGCTCCAAAATCTAGCATTATTTTCATAGCACCATGCTCCTTTTCATTCATTCGTTTATTCATTCATTTAATAATACCTTTCCCCCCAATTACATATGAAAACAATTTTTAACATGCATCTTTTAAAATTTTGTTTTCCAAATTCTCTCCTTTCCTCTCTCCCTTTCCCATCTTCCCTCCCTGAGATGGTAAGCAATTTGATATAGGCTATACATATGCAATCATGCAAAACATCTCCACATTGGTCATGTTGTGAAAGAAAACACAGACCAAAAAAAAAAACCTGATGAAAAAAAGTAGAAAATAATATGTTTCCATTTCATTCAAACGCCATCAGTTCTTTCTCTGCAGGTAGATAGCATTTTTGATCATGAGTCCTTTGGAATTGTCTTGGATTATTATAGTGCTAAGAATAGCTAAGTCATTCACAGTTGATCATCATACAGTATTGTTGTTTCTGTGTACAGTGTTCTCTTGGTTCTACTCACTTCACTTTGCATCAATTCATGTCAGTCTTTCCAATTTTTTTCTGAAAGTATCCTGCTCATTGTTTCTTATAGCACAGTAGTATTCCATTACAATCATATATCACAATTTGTTCAACCATTCCCAATCGATGGGCATCCCTTCGATTTCTTTGCCACCACAAAAAGAACAATTCTAAATATTTTTGTACAAATAGGTCCTTTTCCCTATTTTTATATCTCTTTGGGATACCCAGACCTAGTAGTGGTTTTCCTGAGTCAAAGAGTACGCACAGTTTTATAGCCCTTTGGGTATAGATCCAAATTATTTTCCAGAATGATTGGATCAGTTCACAACTCCACCAACAGTCATGTTCCCTTTCATAGCAATTCCCACCCTGGCTCCTCAAAATAGGGGAAGCATGAGATGGGATGTGTTTCACATTCTGAGAATGAAACATGAAAATAGATGAGAAAGCCCTTTGAAATATACAAAGGTCTATATGGATGTGTGGATCTCTGAGATCTGGACTGACTAAGGGTCACTCACTCCTTATAGCAGCTCCTTTGACATGAGGCAAGGAAGGATGAGGCCAGTAGAAAGGAGGCCATGTGAACAGCAGAGCTTGAGAAAGCACTTAGTTCTAGACAAGCTCAGGTTGAGTGGAATTCGGGTCTTACACCTACCACATTCCCAGAGCCGGATGCCTCATTAGCAACTGAGAATCAAGAGAAAACAGGGGATGTTATAGACTGTATCTGGGGCCAAGCAGGCCCAGATTCAAATCCAGCATTGGACACTTACTAGCAGTGTGACCACAGGCAAGTCACCCCTCCTGGAGCCTCAGTTTTCTCACTGTTAAAATGGGACTGTTAAAACCTTCACTCCCAGGGTTGCTGTCGGGCCTCAAAGGCGATGTTGCTAACTTTAACGTGCTATATAAATGTCAGCTGTTGTGATTATGGGAGCATCTTGAACAATTTGAGGATACTCTGAGATCTTTGAACTTTTAAAAAATACATATTTTGACAGCTTTTTTTCCCCCAATATAACTGGTTTCCATTGCAATACTAAATATTTTATTTTATGCATTTTAAAACATCATTAAAAGAAGGGTCCATCAGCTTTGCCAGACTGCAAAGGGCTACATGAATGTCCTCTCCTGAATATCCGGTTGAGGGAGTATAGTCTATTAGCAATGGCATTGTGTTGTGTCTTCTTAGGTAGGAGAGTGATTGTCAGGCCTAGGAGAAGATTTTATTGTGGTTTTGTGACCTGATTCCCCCTCACCAAACCCTCTTCTTCCCACCCCCCCACCCCAACTCAAAATAGAAACGTGATTCTGTATTTTTGGCCCTTAACTCCTGAGTGAGATCAGTTGTTCGGACAATTCAATTGTGCAGAAATCTATTAGGGAAAAGGCTACAAAGAACAGACAGACTCTTCATCATGAGAAAAGCAGTGTCTGTCTCTAGTAACCCACTGATGAAGAAGCGAATGGGTACAGTTGGAAGAGAGCTGATTTGAACACAGAGGATGACCTAATCCCCCAGCCTCAGCTCTTGCTATTTGGTCTTTGTATGACCCTAGCTGGGCAAGTCAGCTCACCTCTCTGGACCTCAGTTTTCCCATCTGTAAAATGGAGTTTGAAACTGAACTCTAAGTTCTAAACCTATGATCCCATGATCTCATCAGGTTTCCTCCCCATTCCAAATCTGTGATTCTGCAATCCGTTTTGGTTGAAACTGTTTGATTTAATTACCTTGTGTAGGTGATGCCTGAGCAAACCACCCACGTGGAAGATGAGGCTGGCTTTATGGCTGCATAAGTGGCTGATGCTGCCATAAACTCGGTGTCTGAAGACAACAATTCTCAGTTCACAAAACCACTGTAAACAATGAAGTCATTTTAGAGATAAATTGCAGCTTGTTCAGTGACGGGGAGTTGGAGGCACCAAGAAGGGGGTGGGGGAAAGGGGAGCAAAGACTTGGCATTAGTGCACCCCATGCCAGGAAGCAGGAATTAGGAAGGACAGCATGGACAGTGACCTCTCTCCCTCTAACTCATGGCCTCTTCCTGGGTGGTGGGCCACCACAGACTTTTCCTTTCAACTGTCTCATCCTATTAAAAAGCTAAAGTCACCCTATAAAACACATTCCACGGATGGAACAGAGCGAGGTGATCATCTCTCTTGGTTCTGCCTTTTGGTATGACTAAAATCCCTAAGGTTGGGAAACTCTCAAGAGGCGAGATGAATAGGAATCCAGTCCTCGTCTTCGAGGGATTGGGACACGTAAACAGGCAACACAATTTTGTAGGCTAGGAAAGGCACAGGTCTTGTAGTCGTAGAACCCGGGTTCACCTCTCAGCTCCCACACCTCCCAAGCTGTGTGACTTTGTGCAAACCTCTCTGACCCTCTCTGATAAGTTCCCTTATCCATGAAAGAAAGGGTGAGGGGTGGGGGTTGAGGTACATTCAATATCAAAATCCTATGAAACCATGAAGTCTTCTATATCTATATACAAGTGATCATTTCTATTTACAATGAACTCTGACACTAGGGAAGATGTGAAACATACTGAAGCAGCTGTGTATGTAAAAAGTGTTTGGAGAATACAAGGGAGGACAGAGGGCTGGAAGTAGCCTGGAGGTAATCCCAGAAGGCTTCTTGGAGGAGGTGGGACTGGAGTGGAGCCTTTAAGAATGGGTGGGATTTCAACAGCTAGAGAGGGAACAGCATGAAGAAGGGTACAAGACGGCAAGTGGAAGCTGTACTGGCTTAGCAAGTCAGTGCTCTTTGTTCAGAGTGTTGGGTGCTTCTGTTGACTTTGGGGAGACAAGATTGGAAAGGCAGCTACTGACTGAGGAAATGGAAGGCTTTAGTGTTTAGATGCCATTCTTCATTTTTTAAAGGACTAGGTGGCCATACTTAGTTCCTTTACCTACTGACCTTAGAAGACAACTGTGTGCGTATATAGTTTATTAACGTCATTTCATAGGAGGAGACGGGTTGCAGTGTGGACATATATCCCTTTGAAGGGTGTCACATGTGGAAGGGACCTTAGAAGTCAGCTTTACCAATCCCTGTATTGTTATACCAAGGGAGGAGGTCACAGGCACAGAGGGGGAAAGGTATTTGCCCCTGGTCACATGGGGTTCTCCTCAAGGCCAGCTGTGTCCTGACTTCCAGGCCCTTACCTGAGCACTACATTGCCTTCTTGTGCTAAAGTCCATCAAAAAATCAACAGATTCATGGATTACCCTTTTATTGACATCCAGTCCTTTTTTTTTTTTAAGCCAGCAGACAGCTATTAGCCTCTCTATTGTCTTTTGGGATAACAAGTGGGTGTTTAAAATGTTTTTTTTTTAAAAAGATCTATAGTTAGCTTTAAGAACAACAGAGGAAATAAAAACACAATTACTTGGCCGAGCTCAAGAAATATAATTTAGATATGTTCATTTTTGGAGTTACCTATTGTGTGTGTGTTATCAAATTACTCAAAGCACTAAGTGAATTTCAGAGTTTCAGAATACAGTGAATTCATACTAGGAAGCAAAGTTGGTATAATGACAAGAGCCCTGAATTTGAGGACAAGTGTCCTGCATGTGAATCCCAGCTTTGCTACCGACTGCCTGTATGATCTTGACTAAGTCACCTTCCTCTGTGAAGCTCATTTTCATTTTCTATAAAATGAGGAACTAGTCAGTTTCTTAAAGATCTCCTCTAGTTCTGAGTTCTAGGATATTAAATGAAGAAGAAATTTAAGAGATTATTTAGATCAAGGCCCTTATTTTGCATGTAGGGAAATTAAAGGGACTCACCCAAGACTTCTTATTGGGTGGCCACTTTAAGATTTGAAAGAGAAATGTGAGACATTATTTGGGAAAATTCTGGGTTACCATAATCTGATTCTCCTCATAACTTAGTCCTTTTTGTTGCTGGTAATGGTAATCTCACCACAGTTGGGAATTTAATCAAATAGGACTTTTCATCCACCACCTAAGTCAACATTACCTGTCTTGGACAGGTGTAAAGTTTGGAAAATGCTTCATGTACGTCATTTTATTTGTTTCTTACAATCCCTGTCTCAGCTCTGGGCTAAAGATGAGGAAGTTGAGATTTAGGAAAGTTGAGACTTGTTCAGGGTCTCCCAACTCTAATGAGTGCCAGAGAGGGGAAATGGGGAAAGTTCTCCCAGGCCCTCCCCCGCCAACTTAGCCCACCATCCTTGATAGCACACTCTCCTCATGCATTCCAGCTGGCAGTTAGGAATGTGTGTGTGTGAATATTTAGACACACAGCTATTGATTTTTGGAAGCAGTCCTCCCATAATCCCATGGAGCTCCAAAACATTTGACCTTGCAAACGGGCATTTTGCTGACCTACATCAGCTGGAATGTTTTAGGGAAGCAATGAAAATGAAAAGTCACCATTTACTCATATGCCAGCTAGGGATGGTTATTAACTCTTGGAGCTGAGAGCTGGGAGGAGCCAGGGAAATCAGCTAGTCCAAACCCCTCATTTTGCAGAGCAGGAAACTGAGTCTCAGAGAAGGGATTTTACTTGCCCACACGCAGTTGGCAGAAGCCTGTTTTGAGAACCTTGGGCTTTTTGATGCCCAACCCAGAACTCTTCCCCCCATTTCATGCTCCTGACTTATCACCCTTCTCTACTGGCCCAGCAGCACCTGGTAAAGCAGAGACCCCACCACCACCACCACATACACAGACACAGACACAGACACACACCCACCCACCACACACACACACACACACACACACACACACACACACACACACGACTGAAATAATGGCTCCTGCTTTACAGGGCATTTTTGCTCTTGAGTTCAACTGAAACATGTGCCTTTGAAAGGCTAGGGGCTGTGGTTACCTTAAGGTGTTCAAGCAGCAGCATCTAAATCCCGGACGCCTCAGATTAAAAGCAGTACTTGGGATGATGTTCCAGGAGAACACATTCTAAGAGAAGGAAATAATCCTACTAAAAACAGTTCAAGTTTCCAGATGACTTTAAAGTATGTAAAGGTGGCACAGTGGATAGAGCACTAGGCCTGAAGTCAGGAGGACCTGAGTTCAAATCCAGCCTCAAATACTTGCTAGCCTTGGGACTCTGGGCAAGTCACTCAACTCTGTTTGCCTCAGTTTCCACATTTGTAGAATGAGCCAGAGAAAGAAATGGTAAACCACTCCAGTATCTTTGCCAAGAAAACCCCAGAAGGGGTCAGGGAGGATCTGACATGAATGAACATATATTGCCCCATTTGATCCTTATACCAACCCCATGAAATATGTGCTATTATTATCTCAATTTACAGATGATGAAACTTGCGGCTTAAAGGGATTAAATACATTATGTGCCTAGCAAGTAATTATCTGCAGGGTAGTATTCGAACCCAGCTCTTCCTGACTCCAGGTCTGGCACTCTGTCCACTGAACTCCAAGGCCAATCAATCCATAAGTAAGCATTTATTAAGTGCTTACCATGGTCCAGTCTCTAGGGGCACAAAGCGCAAAATAAAACCATCTCTTCCCTCAGGAAGCTTATGTTTTATCTCTCTCTCACAGAGTCTCAGGGCCTGCTAGTAGATAAAGAGATATGGGTGTGGGTAGCATGTGTTAATAGGACCAGGGTCCCAGTGTCATTTCATATGTACTGTCCTGCTGCCTTCCTCATTGCAGCTAGTAGGAATTCATTTCACCTGGCCCAAAAGTCACGTTAAGGTGTGAGTGGCTCTTTCCCATGAATTCTAAGAATTACGCTATTAAGGTCAGAGATTTAAAGCTTGCATAGAACTTAGAGACCATCTAATCCAAGCCCTTCATTTTCCAGATGAGGAAACTGGGGTCCAGCGAGCCTAAGGTTGCACAGATTACCTGGCAAAGCTCTGGATTTTGAATCCAGGTCTTCACACCATGTTACATGCTTTTTCCATGAATGGGGTCTTAAAGAATGTGTTAGCCTTGGGAATGAGGTTGGGGGAAGCTATTCTAGGCAGAAAGACCCCACAGCAAGGGCAGAGAGGGAGGAAACTTTTTCATTTTACATCCTGATCCCACCTTGAATTCTTTTTCACCGGCAGTGTTCCAATAGATGCTGGTTGACTGCCTCCACCCCCATCCATACCCCACTCCATGGTGGACATTTCTCCCCTTGATGGAAAGTTGTCTTATGTGGCCTCTCAAGCTTCTTTCCAACTCTTAAGGGTCGACCATCCTAAAATGCTCATAATCAGATTCTATGATCCCATGATTCTCAACTTCTTCAGTTATGAAATTCAGTAGATTCCCTGATCCCCAAATTCTGTGATTCCTGGATTCTGCTCATAGTATTCTATAATGGAATCACTGTATTTTGGGCCTCAGGTAACCAGGCCAAGTCCTGCACGCCATGTGCCCTTAAGTGAATGCCTGCCCTAGTTTAGCAATAGCCTGAAGAGGGAACAGCCACTTGAAATCCTCTCCTTACACAGACTGCAGAATTAGAGACTGGGAACCTCCATTTTTGTATTAGGTACAGAGTACTTTTTGCACCAGATTGAGCTATCAAGGGCTATATTTCACTCCCTCCTTCTTTGCCATTTTAAATTACAAAAGACAGAACATATCTGTCCCTGACCCTGAACTTCAGGGAAAAAACAATAGGACATTTTTGGTCTTCTAGCTTTAGAGAAGGCAAATGTTATTCAGAATACTAACCATGTTAAGTGTGCTGTAGGCCTACTTTTCTGAGATCCCTTTAAGAAAAATTCCCTTGCTTTCAAGTGGACCTCTTAAAGCCAAGGATTAAGTTCCTTGCTCCACTTGAGAAGCAACTTGGCATGGTAGAAAGGACGCTAGATATGAGAATGAGGGACACTGGATTTGTATCCCAGCTCTGGCACCGAAGAGCTATGTGACCCTGGGCAAGTCATGGTACTAGAAAGGGTCCTTGATGTGGGGGTACATGACTTGGATTCAAATCGGGGCTCAGCATGACCTTTGGTTAGTAAACCTTGTTGTACCTCAAATTTACTTATGTGTGAAATCTAAATCTATGCATCTGCTTCCCCTTTCTGAGCCTCAGTTTCTATATCTGTAAAATGGGCATAATAGTGCTACACTGACTTATCCCGTAGGACTGTTGATAGGAAGGCACTTAAAAAAATGTTCCATGTGAAGGTGAATTAATTCTTATTTTCATCCTGCCTCCTTCACCCCCTCTTCCCCTGCCAAAGGCTGTCTTCAAGACAGCAATAAGTGTTGGCGAATTGGTCATAAATGTCCATTTCCCCAGAAGACTCTCAGAGTGAGATTTTTCTTTTCTTTTTTTTTTTTAAAGATACATTGGTAGGTTGGTGAAGGAGATGTTTTGGGACAGAGAGAGCTCTTAAACCATATCCAAGAGATAACTGTCACCAGGACTAATTCCTCCTCCTCAGTGAAGGGCACATGTATAAGGAACAGCACAAGGTTGGGGGAGATTTCAATGGCATTTAGTATGATCCACTTGTGTTACAGATGAGGAAAATGAGGATCTGGGAAGACAAGTGACTTACCTATGGTCATCTGGGCAGTAGTTGTAGGGGATGGGATTTGAACCCCCTTTTTATTGGTGGGCTAGCAGTATTCTTTCCACTGTGTCAGGTCGGAGTTATTAGAACACAGGGCTCCTTCGGAAAGGCTAACCCTGCCACGAGCATTGGGATCCTAGAATTTAGAGCTGGTGGGGGTCTAGAGACCATCTAGTCTATCCCCTTTGCTTGCATTGACTGGCAGGGGCAAGGGGGACTGGATAGGGCCAGAAGAAGGCTTAGGAAGGTAGGAAAGGGCCAGGTAATGAAGGGCTTTGAAAGCCAAACAGGTCCTGGAGGTGATCAGATGCCACAGTTACTGATTGTTTTTCTTGTCTCTCTCTCTCTCTTATCTAGGCATCGGTTATGCCTCCATTGTGATTGTGTCCCTCCTGAATGTGTATTACATCGTCATCCTGGCATGGGCTCTCTACTACCTGTTTGACTCGTTTCAGAAAGAGCTCCCCTGGTCCCTCTGCAATCAGAAGTGGAACACCCCGAATTGCTTGGAAGACTACCTGAGACAGAACAGGACGTTAATGGCCTTCAATTTCACAAACTACACCTCACCTGTCATCGAATATTGGGAGTAAGAATCATTAGGGTCTTAAGAATGAATAGACAAAGGGTAGCCAGGTGGTAAAGTGGATAGAGCATTGGCCCTGGAGTCAGGAGGACCTGAGTTCAAGTTTGGCCTCAGACACTTGACACTTGCTAGCTGTGTGACCCTGGGAAAGTCACTTAACTCCAATTCCATCACACACACACACAAAAAGAATAAATGGACAAAGCAAGGCAGGTAGGACCCCCCGCCCCAAAAAAAGTCTCTGGTTTCTTTAGAGAGTCTCTATAGTTACTTCTTCAAAGGGGCCTGGAGAGGAAGAACCTAAGGTGGGTAAAACTAGATGCCCTCCATTCAGGGCCTTACTTGATAATGCTGTCATCCTCAACAATACTTAAATCTCTCTGGGGACAGCTAGGTAGTACAGGGGATAGAGCATTGGCTCTGAAGTCAAGAGGACATGAGTTCAAATCTGGATTCAGACCAAACACTTGACACTGGGTGACCCTGGGCAAGTCACTTAACCCCAATTGCCTAAAAATAAAAAAAAAAAACTTGCTCTCTCTGAGCTTCACTGTCCTCATCTGTAAAATGGGGATGATATAGGTTGTACTACCTATGTTTTAGGGTTGTTCTAATGAAAGTATTTTTTGATGAATTGTCAAGGCCTCTCTATCCAGGTATGTTTTGTCTTTCCTGACCAGATGTTCAGGAGGTGTTAAAATGTATCCCTGTTTGTCCTTGTTAGGCCAAGCCTGCTTAGGAGACACGAAGTTCTCTTTGTAGCTTGATGATTTTATTGTCTAGAATGAGCTGGGTGTCCCTGGAGTTTGTCTTTAGAGACAATACTGTCCAGCCAAGAAGCAGTTTTCTTGGGTTGCCCGCTTTTTTGCAGGGAATCAGAATGGGGCACAGAGAAATTTAGCCCAAATCTGCTGCCTTCCCAGAGTCTTGGCAGGGGAGATGAGCACCTCTGACTTTTCTTAGAGAAGCCCTGGATTACTCATTAACGGAAGAGTCTTTCACTATGGGACACCTTTGATTTTTGTGATTTTTTTTCTTGTATGTGTATTAAAACAAAACAGAAGAAACCCAAAAACTTAGATGAATTTAGTTCTTACTCAGAAATCTGGTCCAAAAACCTATCCGTGACACACTGTTTAATTTGTTTCTTCTTCTTCTTCCTTACAGTCTTCAAGTTGGGGGGAGGGGTCATCTGTTTTAAGCTACAGTCAACTCATTATTTCAAACCCAATTACCTGTTTGGTGGCTTAAACCAGATCCTAGGCTTTCTTCTCATTTATTGTTTGACTTTAGAGCATCTTAGCTCTCGGCAGCGTGATCCCTTTTCTCTCCCCCTGGCCTCTCCCTTCCAAAGATGAATAAAGCCATTGACCCAGTTAAGCTTCTTTTGGCCACTTGGATTCAACTCTGATCTAGTTTGGTAGGAATGAGGCTGGAATAATTGGGCTGAGAGTCACTGTGGAGCTCCTTTATTCCTTATAGTCACAGATAAGCTCAACTTATTCACTGTTGTGAGCCTTGCCTTTCAGGGTTCCCACTGAAGGTCCTTTCTCTCCTACTCTTAAAAAGGAAAGCATGAGATACTCAACTGTCTTGGGAAACATCCTCCAAACCTTGTATAAGATCCAGATGGACATAGTAGGTTCAGAAACTACCCTCCTCCTCCCCTTCCTTGCTGTATTCATTTGGCCAATTAGTAATAACCCCAGTGCTCAATTCTCACCCAGTTGGGCCACTTAATCCCCACTTGAATTCCAAGGCAACTACTTGAGACAGCTTGAGTGCCCTCTGAATTGTATATATAAATATAAGCCAAGGGCTGGACAAAGAATGGTGTCCATGCAGGAGAAATCATGCAAATGTTACATTTGGAAAAGTCTGACTTATGTCAGTGTCCAAGCCCTGAGTCAGCTATTGTGTGTGTGTGGGGGGGGGTGGATAGGAGGGATTTAGGGAAGGAAGGCACTCCCTGCCCCCTACTCCCCATCTATGTTCTAATGAAGGAAACCAAGGTTCAGAAGGAATAAGTGATTTGGCCAGAGTTTAATAAATAACCAGAAAATAATCTTCAAACCAAGTCTTTGATTGCCGTGCTTCTCCCCACCCCAGACCATACTGTCTCTCCCTCCTTCAGAGAGTTTAAATTCTTATTGGATAGGCTAGATTAATGTATATGAAACAGATGACTATAAACTAAAACTTGACTACTTGTGCAGTTCTGTGATATGGACAAGAAAGTGTATGGTTTCAGAAAACAAAGATACAGTGAGAGTTAAGTATTCAAAAAGGGAAAAGATCAGCGTGGGATGGCAGGGCCAGGGATGACTCCATGGATTGGGAGGAACTTAAAGAATGAGATTTCGTGAGACCATCCAATCACCAATTTAGATTGGGAAGACACTGCTGAGTCCACCCAGTCCGAAGTCCTCCTTTTTACTCCTTAGGTGAGTAAAGGCCAAGAGGGAATGAGTGACTTGTCAAAGGCAATAGAGGTAGTAAGAGGTAGATTCACGATTTGACCCCAATTGCTCTGGCTCCACATCTAGCAGGTGGAGAGGAATAGCAAGGACATTTCAAGGAAGAGTAGCAAGTTGAGCCCAGTTGGAGGTTAGGGTGTTAAAGAGATGGAATTCCACACTGGATTTTCCAGTGTGTCATTACAGAAGTCAACAAGTCAAGTCACACATTTCTTCCCCCTACTGCTTTTATGAGGGATTTAGAGGATCTCTCATGGGAGACAGGGACTCGAGCCCTGAGGCATGGGCAACTGGAATTGTCCACCCAATATGCCCTTTCCCCGAGAAGAGTCAGTTTGTGGGGAATCAGAGGGACAGAAAGGGAAGGGTGTGTGGGGCTACGCTTCCCACTCCACCCATCTCCTGGAGTTTCCAGAAATAAGGGAAGCCTTTTCCTGATCCTTGAGATTCGCTTCCACCCTCACCCTAACCCATCCACTGCCTACCCCTTACAGACGCTGGAGAATGAGCCCTTCCCTCGTGATTACTGGGAACATTTCAGAGTCTCTCAAGCCTTGCAGGAGAGCAGCTGAAATAATTTATTGGAAAACTCCCTTGATTCCTCTGCAGTTTTAAAAGGCCAACCAAAACAATCCAGCAGGCTAATATTGCATGCCATAAATTTAGGCCTGAGATCTTTATCCCTTGAACCTTCCTGGCATGAATTGTGGGCCAGCCTTCCCACACTCTGAAATGTGTTTCACCCAAGGAGTGTTGGTGAAAGTCACTGGAGAGGGTCCCCAAGGTCATGGCCAAGTCTTCCTCTACAGTCAGCTGCTCCTGTCCTTGCTTCTGCTACTGAATGCCTCACAATCCTAGGAGCCCCAATTTAGGATCACACTGGGTAGATCAGAAGTATCACCCACCATGGGGACAGAGCTGGAACCTAAGTCCTTCCCTCATTGCCATTTTCTTCCTAGTACTCATCCTTTGTGGGCATCTTGTCTTACTGGATTTATATTTGTTAACACTGCAGAAATAAGACAATCTCTTCTTCCTAATCTCCTAATCTTGCTTCCTTGTCAAGTTCAAAAAAGTTTAGAAGAGACAAGTTATAGAGTTGTCCTGCTTTCTTCCCACCTTTTACCCGGTCAGCTATCTATGGAGGAGACAGTGGAGCAGAAAAGAAAAACATGACTGGTATGATTTGGCAAACTCAAACCTCAAGGAGGTCTTTGCAGTCTTAGCTTTCCAGTCGACTCAGCCCAAGGATTGCTGCTGTCCAGGCTTTTCTTCATAGAATTTTGGGGGGACCTTAGAAAGAACCTCAGAGGTCATTAAGCCCAACCTCCCTCACAGTTGGAATTGACCCTGCAACATCCTTCATTGAATGCATCATTGGATGACACCTAATGCTGTCAAAGATAAGGACTGAGGAAAAGATTTAAGTTTTGGTCTTTGCTTTGGCCTTGGCCTTGGCCAGGCTTTCTCTTATCATCTGATGACTGATAGGAGTGTATACCTAGGAGAAATCATCTAGGAGAATCTCCCCAGATTACAGAATCTGTGAATGGTAAGCTACTTAATTGAAGTCACATAGCCAGGAACTGAACCCAGGCCCTCTGACCCTAACATTATTTTTCCTTCTACATTGTTGGTTCCCAACTTTCTTTTGTGATGACATAAAAAAAAATAGGCAGTTAGGTGGTTCAGTGGATAGAGTAGCAGCCCTGAAGTCAGGAGGACCTGAGTTTAAATGTGGCCTCAGACAGCTGTATGTCTTTGGGCAAGTCACTTAGCCCTGTTTGCCTCAGTTCCTCATCTGTAAAAATAAGCTGGAGAAGGAATGCAAAACCACTCCAGTATCTTTGTTGAGAAAACCCCAAATGGAGTCACAAACAGTCAGACATAACTGAAACAACTCAATAAATTTAAAAAAAGGTTCACAGAATTCACCTTATAGTGTTTATTATTATAGTATTGTTTGATTGAGAAAAAATATATAACAGAAAGCTTCTATGAATTCAATACTGTAATTAAATGGCTCCATATTTTGTAAACAACAATAGCATTATGTGGAGTTGAAAAACAGTAATTATCGAGAGACTCATGTAGCCTAGGAAAGTTGTGTTTGCTTTTGTAAGTATTCACATAGAGATTGGTAGATACCGTTGGGGTCCCTGCACTGTTTCCATCCTCACTTATCTGGTGCTCTGGTGACACTTGTGGACATAATGCTCAAAGAGTGGGCTTTGTTCATTTTTGCCCTCACCTCCTCTGCCTTAGAAGTGATGAAGTTGGAGAGTGTCAAAGTTCCAGAGATGCTTGTTAAAGATCAGCAAAGGTTCAGGCTACAACCATCCACCTCTGTGCATTGGAGCACGTTCAAGCTTCTAGAAGCACGCCTTCAGGAGACGGTGCTCGGAAACTCGGGGCCCTGTGAAGCTTCCTGTTGATGGCAGTAGAACTTTTAACTGTGATGCCAACAGCTGAGCATCAGGGAGCGAGCAGCCAGCAGAGGGGATCAGACAGCCTGGATCTGGTGTC